CAGCCTAGTCACGCTGAGAGCTTACGAAATGACCACACCTGGCCCCAAACAGACTGTATTAGACAAGCCCAAAATGAAATGAGCCTGTTTAAAACTTTTGTTATTAATTGTGCTAGAACAGCAGTACCTTTGTATGTTTGTTTTTTGATCTCTTTTACATTCTTAAACATAACTGAGTTTCCTGGGTTGGCTCCATGGGACGGTGGTAATGCACTGGTTAAGAGAAGGCAGATCCATACGGTGACTCGGATTCTGACTCCTGGCTTGGGTGGTCTGAGGCACTCCAGGCAGGCTTGCAGGAGCCCGAGATCAAACTGACTGGAGGACTGAGGAAGGGGGTCGCGGCATGACCAGACCCTGTGGAGGGCGCCCAGCTCTGCTCCACGCTCTCGTGTGTGTGCGCATGCTCGGTATCATAAAACTAAGACAAAAGGTAATTGAGCATCTTTAGAGCTTTATTATTATTTTTAATACGAGTTATAGCTATTGATATATATAATTTTAGAAATTAAATACATCTAAAAAAGTATTTTAAGAAATAATAACAAATCATTACCTGTTAATAGAAATAGCACCATTTATAAATAACTATACCTTCCAAAGTTAAAAAAAAAAAGAGTCAGAATAAACTTGTTTTGCACTTTTCAGGTACCTTTTAAATGCCTAGAGTAATAGGCATTACTCAATCTATTCTGATATCACGCATGTGGCTTCTGGACAATTCCATGGCAGACTCAGAAGAGGACAGGCGTGTAAAGGACACATAGTGTCTCAACATTATTGTGAAAATAGATTTGATATTATTTGAAAGGATCTTGGAGACACCCAGGGTCCCCGGGTCACACGTGGAGAGCCACTGAAAAATGCATTATTCTCGAATTTTGGTGAATCACTGTGGGAGTGCGGGGGAGCATAAATTGGAGACTTTGACAGAAAGTCCTACAAAGCTCATGGCTCTCCATAAGGGAAGCGCCAGGCAATGGTCTGAATAATTTAAATCAATCACTGCATTAATGGCTCAATTATTCGAGTAATTCAGATGTTTTTCCCCAAAACTGCAAAAATTCATGGCAATATTCAATATCATTTTATGCCTGAGGATATTAATAGGAAATAATGAAAGAGAGGGTGGAGAAAGAATGGAGAGGACCAGCAGGTGGTGTGGTGGTTAAGGTGCTGGACTCCCACATGGCTGACCATGGTTCAAGTCCTGGACCTGATGGCTTGAAAATTACACTGGGTGCTTGTATGTGTGTGCCCAAAATCCCAGGAGGAGAATGAAGGAGAAGGGATTGAGGCAGGATCACCTACTCTTGAGGTGGGGAATGATTTCTCACTTTCCCTCTCTCCATCTCCCTGTGTTTCTCTGGCACTATAGCAAAACCTAGGGAAAAAGAAAGAATAACTAGGAAAACGAAAGAGGGAGTGCTGGCCCATGGCTTGGGGGTAAAGGCGGCTGACACAAGACCCACTGCGAGGTTCAAATCCCGGACCCAGCAGCTTGAGAAACATGCAAGGCACATGTGATGCATGCCCAGACTCTTGAAAGGAGGGAGACATGGAAAAGAAGATTGCAGCATGACCATGCCTCTGGGGTGGGGTTTTCTCACCTCTCTCTCTCTGTCTCTCTCCAAGGAGTGCACATAACCCTTGTAAAATTAAAAAAAAATGAAAAAAAAAAGAAAAAGGGGATACTTTCGGACCCCCCAATTCCATTTGCTGTGGTACGGGAGTGCTCTGAGATTATGGGTACCATTTGGCAGAGGTTGAACTCTTTAAATTGATATAAGGAAAAAACCTTTTCTCCTAGAAGGTATGAATGTATTTATCAAGATACTAACTACTGCTCAAGGTAATAATGTAAATTCTTGCAACATTCTTTTAAAAATCAAATCTTTATTTGGAATAAGAGTCCTCTAAAAACAAAACAAAACAAAACAGAACTTTTTTTTCAGTCACTACTTGGTCCCTAGCCTCACTTCTAGAAATACTCTGGAAAAGTACCAGCTTGTGATACCATCGGTGCTGACATGACTGCGACGTGATTTTTATGATTACTCCCCTTTCCCTGAACCCTCGGGGAATGAAGACCATGTCACAATAAATGCTTCTCCTAAAATAAACATTTTACATGCAATGTGATTTTAAATTAAACTTAGAAGCATTTTTTTCTTTAAAAAAACAAGAGGAAAGCTATACACCAGGTTTACTTATTTTATGGAACGACTTTAATTGCTAAAGGATGTGTGTATGAGAGAGGAGAGAGAGAGAGAGAAAGAAAGAGAGAGAGAGAGGAGAAATCATTAATGGGAAGGAATCGTTAATGGGGCACAGTCATGCTGCAGTCCCGTCTCTGTTTCTCTGTCCTGCTAGGATTTGGGGCATTCAAACATGTCCAGTATGTTTTTCAAGCCACTGGGCCAGGGACTTGAACTGCAGTCAGCCATGTGGAATTCAGCTTTCCACGCACTACAGAGCTGGCCCTCATTTTGTTTCTTGAAAAGCCATTTCTTTAGGGAAGCCTTTCTAACTGTCCCATGAAGTGAGACGGCATGAGACAATCGTGAGTGAGTACAGAATTTTGGACAGGACGGCTTATCCCCTCCCCTGGCCTGACAGCTCTTTGAGGGCCTGGGTTGCAGTGGTCTTGTTCACATGGAACAATGGATATACCTCAAACTGTATTTATAAGGACCGAATGAGGCCCCTGGGGACAGGAAACTGGCTGCAGACTTTGAGCAACAGCAGGATGAGGAGGCCTAAGCGTTTGCTCCTTTGGTGCCACCATGATGAAGTAGTGGACATCTTGTGCAAGGCCCCCTTTGCTACACTCTTCCACCTTGAATCCCTCAAAGAGCTCCAAGCATGTGCAAATGATGTTCCCACACACTGTTCTCAAAACAAATTATTTCATTTTAAAATACACACACACACACACACACACAAGAAAAGAAAAAAGAAAAGAAAGTAAAGAAAAATACAGGAACTGTGGGAAAACTCAGGTTGGGGCAGACAGACAAACTCGAACCTACCTACCTTGTTAGGTAAGCCAACACTAACAAAAATAAGAATTGGAGAGAATTTGAGATCTCCAGGGAAGTTACTTAATGTACCTGGACGCTGTCTTAGGGCACCCTGAAAATATTAAAGGACAGATACCACACTTGACCTTGGTCAAAAGGTCATGTAAATAAATGCACGTAAACAGATGCAATAATTTATGGAACTGTGTACTATGACTGAATGAACATGTTACGGACAGTTCAATATGTTTGTCAAACACACACACACACACACACACACACACACAGAGCCAGTGGAACTATTACTGAGCGTGAACAACACCATGCAGTGTTTGATGCTGAAGACAATCTAGCCACACCAGGTGGTTGTGTGTTCTTCCATCAGGAGGCCCACTGTACTGGTCGGGTTTCATTTGGTGACGTAAGCAGCCTTTGATGCTCCTTGCCCAGATACTCACCTGGTGTTGCATTATTAGAGGATTTATCCTATTGTCCTTGTTCTTCTTCATCTTCATTTTTAAAGGGGGATCATTTTCTAAAGAGAACATTTCCTCATCAATTTTATATTATTTTAGGATTCCATTTGTATAGGAAAGGCGGAATAAAAATATTTTACTTTCTCTTTCTTTTTATTGCCAGAGGGTGTGTGACTTGCCAGAGAGAGACAGAGAGAGAAGGAGAAAGAGAAGGAGAGGGAGAAAGCACCCAATGAGACATGGTCATGCTGCAATCCCTTCTCCTCTATTTCTCCATCCTGTCAACATTTTGGACATACATGCACACATTCCCAATGTATTTTACAAACTGCCAAGGCTGGGTTTTGAACTGTGTTTTGAACTTTGACCGTAGGAGATCTGGCCCATAACCACCAGGCTACTGAGCTGGCCATAAATCTAGATATTAAACCTTTATCAGATATACAACTTACAAAACTTTTCTCCCATTCTGTAGATGCCTTTTTACTCTATTGATAATGTCTTGTTTTGGTTGCAATAAAAAATGAAAGGAGCCATAACAATATAAAAATTGTATACCAGCAGGTGGCATGGTAACTAAGGCACTGGATACTTCCACAGGGCTGACCACAGTTCGAGTCCCGAACCTGGTGGCTTGCTTTCTCGCTTTCTCTCTTTCTCTCTATGTCTCTGGTCAAATTAAAATAAAAATGAATAAATAAATAAAATTAAATTAAAAATAATTCTTTAAAAAATTGTATATGTGTGTGTGTGGTATGGCATGAGCCTTCTGTACATAAATACAATGTGTAATGATCAAATCAGAGTGATTAGTATATCTATTATCTCAAGCATCTGATAATGTCTTTCGATGCATGACATTTTTTAATTCTGATGAAGTCCTGTTTGCTTGTTTTTTCTTTTGTTGCTCATAGTTTTGGTGTCATAGCTAAGGATTCAGTGCCAAGTTTTATTAGATTATTTATGTGCTTAAATTGTACTTTTCCAGGCTGTGTTGGACTGCAGGAGAAGATGGCGGTCTCCACAGGAGTTAAAGTTCCTTGTAATTTTCGCTTGTTGGGGGAACATGAAGAAGGACAGAAAGGAGTAGGCGATGGTTCGGTTAGCTGCGGCCTTGAAGATGATGAAGATGTGACACTTACAAGGTGGACAGGCGTGATTATCGGGCCACCAAGGACAAATGATGAAAACAGAATATATAGCCTGAAAGGAGAATGTGGACCTCAATACCCAGAAGCGCCTCCATCAGTTAGATTTGTAACAAAAATTAATATGAATGGGGTAAATAATTCCAGTGGGATGGTGGATGCATGGAGTATACCAGTATTAGCAAAATGGCAAAACTCTTACCGCATTAAAGTCGTCCTTTTAGAGCTACAACATCCAATGATGTCCAAAGAAATATGAAGCTTCCACAGCCACCAGAAGGACAAACATACAACAATTGATTTTAGAGGCTCTTGAATTTGTCTTAAATCAACAATCTTCTACTCATATAAATGTCTTGATTAAATATCACAATGCAAATACCCACACATTAAGTAATAGAATTCCAGCTGGTAAGCATGACTGACATTTGTAAGAATATATTTAATATCTGTGCACCCGTTATGTTTTCAGGTACCAAGGAGAAAATGCAGCCCAATTCTTTTTCTCTTGTTAAGGCGCTGTCATTTAAGTGTAAGCCTGCAGTACTCGAGACAGAATTCGAGTTTTCAAGATGAAAGCATGGCAAGAAGTGTCAGATGGCACTGGTGTAAGCACGTGTGTTTCTGAAAAGTAAAAATTCCCAAGGAGGAAAAACAGAAATGACATGCTTTATTCATCTTGCTTACTGAAAGAGCTGCAGTCGACATTGTTTAAGGTAGCAGGTACAATGAATATTGTCACAAATTGTGATACTTTTTGAAGCGGTGTGGGTGCTGACTACTAGTAGTATCAAAAATATAGTCAGGATTGTTTTGATACCTATATTTATTTATTTACGCTGTATCATCTTTAATGGAGTATGAAGGCCTCTCCAACATAAAATCTAGAGACCATCTCACCCACTGCTCTTGTCTCTCTCTCTGGCAATGGTAAGGTGGACACCTTTTCCCCGGGGAAGAGAAATCCATGGCTTGTGACCTTTGCCAATAACAAAAATGTTGGAGAGCCGAGTGGCAAAGCTGTTGTCATTGGCATCTTTCACATGAACCACATCAGAAGAGCCAGGATGTCTCTCTCTGTTGGTGATCACACCAATTCTTCCCAAGTTAGCACCTCCTGTCACCATACAGAGGTTACCAGTGTCGAACTCGATGAAATCAGAACTCTTCCCCGTCTCCACGTCAATCTGAATGGTGTCGTTCACCTTGATGAGAGGATCCGGGTAGCAGATGGTGTGAGCATCATGGGTCACCAGATGAGGGGTTCCTTTTGTGCCCTCAAAGATTTTCCTCACTTTGCACAACTTGTACTGGGCCTCCTGAGGTGTAATACGATGGACAGCAACATAGATCAGTCGGAAATTCTCTCTGGTCTTGTCAATGCTGATGACATCCATGAAACCAGCAGGGTAGGTCGTGTCAGTACGGACTTTGCCATCGATCTTAATGAACCGCTGCATGCAGATCTTCTTTACCTCATCTCCTGCTAAGGCATACTTAAGTCTGTTCCTTAGGAAAATGATGAGAGGAAGACATTCCCTCAGCTTGTGGGGACCGGTGGATGGACGAAGGGCAAACACATTGGTCAATTTATCCAGCATCCAGTGTTTTGGAGCTCCAACCTGCTTCAGATGCTTCTTAGGGCCCCGAACCATGGCTGCGCTAGGAACGGAAAGGGCAATCCCTGTATTTATAATAAAAAAAATGTTGGGGGGTGGTGGTGTATCGATGAAAAAAAAATTGTACTTTTCTACTGTATGAGTTAAGATAGATTAAACTGTTTTTCTACAGCAAATTCCAAAATCCAATAAAAATAATATATTATTTACCATATTATGGCATTATTTACATATATGAGTATATACAAAATATCTGTTATATTACAAAGACAGTATAGACTAAGCAATCTTTCTACATCTTGTAGCTACAGAGTAAGCAAAGTCTATGAGAGATGTTTTTAAGCACCTCACCTAGAAGTCTATAATTTTCACACCTTCCATTGGCTGGAGCTCAGTCACGTGGTCTCAACCTAACTGCAGCGGTGGCCCACTGACTATTTCCTACCAGGAAGTTGTTAGAAGATAGCTTATTATTTCATCAGATATTTTATGTTTGCTTCTCATCCCCTTACAGGTCATAGGATGACAGCTTAATTCCCTCATGTGCGCACATGAGCAGTTTATCGGTGTTAATGAATACTTTATGCTAGCTTCTGTTTTCTAGGGGGCATCTAGCCCTCGAGATGCTCTGTGGTTGAGAATTCGGCAGCACCGCAGGAAGGGGACGTGTGTGAAGTGTCTGCAATGCCCTTGAGGTGGCAGCCTGCTACCAGACAAAGGATGTGAAACACTTCCATTACGCTGGACTCCGGGGATGTGCTCTTTATAAATACACTTTGAAAACTGGGAACAGAATGAAAGCAAGAAAAAGACAGTGGTAGAAAAGCAAGAGGAGAGGGGAAGAGGTGGGAAAGAACAGTAAAGGGAAGAAGAAGGGGAGAGGAGGAGAGAGGGGCAGCCACAGGCCTGCAGGAGGAGCTACCTATGTGCTGTTGTACCTGTTCCCACGTGGCACCCAGATTCAAGAGAGAAGGCCGTGTTGAGCAGCGCCAAGTCACCAGGCAGGCCGAGAGCTGGAGGGCCCGGCCCGACAGCAAGGTGGAGAGTGGTGCAAAGTGATCTCTGAACTCGGTGTGAATTCAGTGGCCTCGTTTAGAGGAAAGATAAACCTGCATCTTTGTCACCAGTGAGTGATGCGCCCCTCCTCGAGAAGAGCAAACTACAGCAGAACTCCTGCCTCAGTCCCACTGACGGCCCTCCCGACTAGGATGGAGCACGCGGGAGGTGGCCACGGGGCACTTGCATTTACTGAAGGTCCAGCAAGCGTCCCGGGCTGCGGTATTTCCCTGGGAAGTCCCCGTGGCTCCGATCACCACAGTCGGATCAGTGCACGCTGTGGGTTTTCAGGGCTCCCTCCCTGTGCGTCTGTGAGCTTGTATTGCTGGTGTCTCTAGCCTGTGGGTGTTCATGAGGTCAGACTTCTCACGACCAGTATTTCCTTTGTTTCTTTCAAAATATTTTTTCAATTTTTTTTTTTTTTTGGTGTGGAGAGAGATTTTTTGCTATAGGGCATAGGGCATGTACATTTGCCAGAGAGAAAGAGAAATGACAGAGAGAGACAGAAAGTGAGAAATCACTCCCCAGGAGGGATGGCCACACCACAGTCCCTTCTCCTCCAGTGTCCTCTTGGGATCTTGAGCATGAACGCACATGCACCCAGTATGAGTTTCAAGCCTCGGGGTCCTGACTTGAACCTTGACTGGCCATGTGGGAGTCCAGCAACATAGCCATTACGCCACCTATTGGTCCTTCCTTTGCTTCTTGCACTCATCTACACAGGCAGAGCTTCAGCCTCTTGCGAATGCACCCCAGCCCAGACGGTGTCCAGCCTAAGCATGGGCTGTCCTCTTACTGCTCTCTCTCAAGTTCACTGGACTTTGCCACCTGAGGAGCCCTTGGAAGATGTGGCCGTCTTCTGGGAGAACACTGATGCCTGGGGTCACATCACCCAGGATTCCTAAGGCACCACCTGCCTCGCTCCACTCAGTGTCCTTGGACAGTCACCAGTTCTGATTCCGCCTTCCTGGGTCACAGTTAATCACTTGGGCTTTAAATAAGCAGACTTTATGTCCCAAATCCCCTGGAGTCCCTCTGTTTGTTTACCTGCTAGAGGACACACGTATACTATCCTCATTCACTGAGTAAGTTTGGTTTGTAAGGCTTTGCTCTGAACATGCTATAGAAAAGACGGGGCTGGACAGCCACAGGGGCATTTCGATGTCTGACACGCACATAAGCTCTTCAGTATATTGTCTCTGTTAATCCTCAGCCAAACCTACTGAAGTATTGTTACTCCCAGGTCTCCACGGTTGGTAAGTGGGGAGCAGACTGAGGGTCTGCAGTGGACGCCATGCTCCCAGCTGCTCCTTCCCGCTGCCCTGTGGTGTCCCTCTCACACAGGGAGGGCAGGGGGAAGGGTCCATGTTATGGTTCTCCCAGCTGACCTTGTTCACTGAATCGAAGAAAGAAGCACGAGAAATCATCTTGCTATGAGAAAAGCGACTCTGTCCAGCCAATGAGCTGCCCACGTGTGTTAGGAGCATGAGTCTCAGTTCCCAAACCAAGATGTGCACCAGTCTTTTTTCCTTTACTGCTCTAACTTCCTATCTATTGGGTCATTGGGAAAGTCATGATGCATTTTTTAAAATAATTGTTTATTTTTATTTATTGATTCATTTATTTTAATTTGACCAGAGAGAGACACAGAGAGAGAAAAAGAATGTGAGAAAGCAAGCCACCAGGTGCAGGACTCGAACCGTGGTCAGCCATGTGGGAGTGTCCAGAGTCTTAACCACCACGCCACCTGCTGGTCCCCGCCATGATGCATTTTTGTGTAGAGAAACAGAAAAATACACCAAGACTTTCCTGATGACCTAATATTTCAGGCTCTGACCCTCTGAGCCAGGGGAGCACGGTTGCCCCATTTCTCTTGGGGTTTTCTCACTCTGGAGGTGGTGATGTTTCTGAGGCTCGCTTAGTGCCCTCGTCTCGAGGTGGTGGTCAGAGCCCAGTTGGCCTTCTTGTCATCTCTCCACACAGGCCACGATTTACTCTTGGTCCTGGTCATTTGTCCTGGGGGTGACAATGCTCCGTGAATGTAAATTAATTAAAATAAAAAAAATACCTGTAAGAGTTTCGGAAGCTTTGCCTTTTAAAATTCAATCTGGGGACCAGCAAATGGTGTACTGGTTATGTTGCTGGACTTCCACGTAGTAGATGGTAGTTCAAGTCCTGGACCCAGCAGCTTAAAACTGACACCGGCCGAAGTTCCGGAGAGGAGAATGGTCACTCTGCTTGGACCAAGCCTAGGGAGCCAAGCAGCCAGATCTGCCAGGGAGTCTCAGGCTTTGAGAGGCAAAGAGTGTGTCTGAAAAGTCTGCCCAGCATGCAGATGGATGGCAACAACAGTGCCACATAATACCAGGCAGGAAGCTGTAGTAGAGCAGCTTAAGATGGAAGCCGACAGGGAAGGATCAAGGTCTCCAAGGCAACCGCAGACAGGATGCCTACTGTGAAGACCCCCGCTGACCCCAGGGCTTCAGAAAACCCATTCAGGAAGAAGCTTTTCTGTGCCACCCTTTAAGTCTCCAAGAGGAGCCTGAGAAGTCTCAGGGCTCCTGGGGTACTGATGTAGAGTTTT